ATATATTATATTTACACATATTAATGTACATTTATATATGCATAATACACAGAGAAATTTCATTAATATGTACCATATGTAATGAGCAGATATTGGCCCAGTCTTGTTGCTAGGTGCATACTCCAGCACAATAACATATTTAAAGTGAAGAGTGCACCCACAGGACTTCAAAATAAACAAGATAACGTAATTTTTTACAGTTGTGCCCTACATACATTCACCATTTCAGTCCCATTAACAAGCTTTCCTTAATATGTCAAGGTAGTTGGACTGAAACATTGATTACATGCAAAGGCACGTCTGCTTAAAATAAATCTGCACTTTTGTTTATTTTGAAGCCTATGAGTGCGCTTTTTACGTTGAAGTACTTTTTAATTTTAAGTTATCTGTTCTAACTCTGTATCTGCACACTATGCTGGTGCAACACATTATGGGGCTGGTAAATATTTTTTTTCCAGGGCTGCTTTTAATGCCCAGTCCGGCCCTGTGAATAGCTATTGGACAGCACGGCTGGTTTCTGGGTCATTAAACATTTTTGGTAAGCTATATTAAACCTGGCTACATGGGTGAGTTTTCAGTAGTTTGTCGTATACATGCTGTGATTTGTATCCTTCATTGAGACCATGTTTTAAAGTCTGTTGAATAACTATAAAAATCATGAACAGGATCTATTTCTGTGTAGGTGTATAAATTAGTATCTTTCTCCTATAGTACTCATATTGCATAAGGACCATGCCTCCCCCTTGTCAGCAGGGCAGATAGTTATTATAGATAGACCAGATGCCAGGCTTCGTAGTGCATCTATGTCTGCATTAGAGATATTCGCACTGTTCCTTTCCCTGTGTTAGAGGATATTCCTGCTATCCCTTTTTCAAGTTCTGTGAAAAGACTTTTAGAAAGGAACTTGTGGAGGTGGTCAAAAAGACTGCAAACCTTCAAAGTTTTAATTTCACTAGCCATGTTACATTCGGATTAATGGTTAAAATAGTCTGCTAATCGTAGTTTCCGTGTAAATTTAAATTGGTCCACTTCCCAATAAAAATCATCAACGCCAGAGATTGATATTAATGTAGTCCCTTAGATAGTAGGTGTGTTTCAACATCAGTGAGAACTCTCTTAGATAAGGTCATAGTGGAAATATCTGTTAGTGCAAGATGGTCTCCTTCTTTGTATGCCTTCCCTTTCTGACCCCTCCTGAAGAATAAGGATCTGTGTTTGCTGTGCCTCTGCTACGATTTAAACTGTGTAGTGGTTCTCGGCTTAATATCAGACCTGGCTCTGAAAAGAAACACTGATGCTTGTCTTGCAGTTGAATGTTTAGGTGGTAATCCTCTGCCTGTGGTGCTGCTTTGTTCAGTATCAGACGCTGACTCTCCAGCCGTAATATCTACAGTAGATCTAATAGGTTTTCGTATTTGGAGTCTATACGGTCTCTGTGGTAGGCGGCTGTTATCCCCTGACAGCCACTTGTAGACACTGTGCTCAGAATAATCAGTTTGTACTTTTTCCAACTTTTGATGTTTAAATATTACAAAACCTATTTTATATTGTTTTAAAACTTCATAAAGCTTTTAAATTAGTGCATTTGGTGTAGCCAATGTCACATTTATGTTTAAGTTCATACACAGATATTTTATATTTGGTAATTTTCACAACCCACCTCCTCTATGACCACCAGTCTAAGGTCCAATGAACTGCAATAAATTTTTGGGCAGACTTCTGGGTTGTTTCTATCGATAGTTGGTACATTCTTAATTCTGAAATCTCTCTGAATTTTTTTCATATGATAATAATCAGATAAATATGGCGGGTACTGTTGTACTCATGAGACATTGCTGAACACAAATACAAGTATTTTAGAGCAGTAAAACATATAATAATGATCATATCATTGGTAAAAGGGCAGTTTTTGTGTGTCAAAATGCAAACAAATTATATGAACACTAAATTTGGCCAGGAATTTTTAAAAAAGGGGCCACTAAAAAAGACTGGACATACCTGATATTAAATACCTTGTGTTTTCTACTTTTGCAAATGGCATGCCATAAGGAGGACCATTTTCATTCTTGGGCCGCCATACAGTTTTAAATGCAACAAAGGTCCAGCAATCCAGTCTGCCAAATTTCAAAGTGGAAAAACTGAAATGGGCAAGCCTCGCATATGACCCTGTAACTTTCCAAAACACAATGAAACCTGTACATGTGGGGGGATTTTTGTACTTGTGGGACATCATAGCATACAAGTATCTTTGTTTTATTGCAGTAAAAGCTAACAGTATTATGACATTCATAGTTAAAATGATATGCAGAACTTGGAAAATAACAAAAGTTCTTAATTTGTCATACTTTTTTTAGATTTTTTTTTTTTAACCCCCCTCCTGCCTCCACTATATCTAACTGACCCCCTAGTCACCTCCAAATGCCCCTAAGCCCCCCATATTACCTATTTTTTATTCTTTATTTTCTGCCCCGATCTATATTCAGGGCGCTGCCATCTTTGTGTGGGTAGAGGAAGTCCCTGTGGGACACGTCATCTGCCCACATGAGATGGCACTGAGATTCCCGCACATGCCCAGTGAAACACTTGGGTATGCGAACGGGAATTTCATCTATTCATTCATTTTTCAGAAAGACGAATAAATGAATGGAAATGTCAGACGAACAAACAAACACTGTGTATTAGTGTTTGTTTGTTCGTGCAGTTTATTACAAGGAGGGAGCTACCGGCTGGCAGTAGCTCCTTGTAATATGTAAATCCCTCCTTGTAATATGTAAAGATAGAAGCGGCAGGGAGCAGTGCTCCCCACCACTTCCTAAGTCCCCCATTTCCTACCTCACTCTGTGGGGGTCAATATGACCCCCCATAATAGCATAAGGAAGATTAAAATCTCCCGAATGCTCCTACTCGCTATACCGCAAGTAGGGGGGCACCTTATTATTTTTTAGGGCCCCCACCCACCGTTCAGAGATGGGTGCTGGGGGGAGGACAGTAGGATCCCCCTTTATTGTTTTTAGGGCCCACACCCAGCGCTCAGGGTGGGGGCCGGGTGGAGGACAGTAGGGGCATATTATTTACTAATACTAAGTAATCTTAACTTAGTATTAGTAAATGTGGCTGAAAGACCAATTTAGGTCTTTCAGGCTTTTAGTAGATAGCTCCCTAATACCGTGCGAATTAGGGAGTTATCTATTAAGCGGCTGCATGATGCAGCCGCGGCAATAAATAGGATCGGAGTTTCATTCATTCGAATGAAATTCCGATATGAACAAAGTGACGAATTGCGTTCTAAAACAAACGAACATACGGTTCTCATTGAGTTAGAACGCAATTCGGCAGTTTCGTCTAAAATGACAGGAACCATCGCCAGATCACAGAGGAAAGGTAAGAATTATGGGAAAATTGCTCTGACCAGCGGAATTGAAGCACACTCTGCTCCTCCGCTGGTCAAAGCTAGTCAAGCGGAGGAAACCTCCATAAGGCCTCCAAAGAGTCCCTACTTTTTCTTATGATTTTAAAGAAAACTAAAGAAGACAAGAAGAAAAGAAGAACAGATCCTGAAAGAGGGGGGGAAGAGGAAGAGATTGAGGAAAAGTAAGTTCGGCATGACAGTGCCGCTTTAATGGGGAAGAGGCAACTTATGGTTAAACAGACATATAGCTCAAATTCTCGGTCCTTAAGTGGTTAAGCAGGGTTATTCTCTAAAGAGAGAATACAAAGTTAATTTGAAATTTAAAGGACCACTGTAGTGCCAGGAAAACTAACTCGTTTTCCTGTAGTGCCAGTAAAACTAACTCATTTTTTCCTATAGTGCCCTGAGGGTGCCCCCACCCTCAGGGTCCCACTCCCTCTCGGCTGAAGGGGGAGAAAGGAGTTAAAACCTTATGCGGCGCTGGGGACTCTCCTTCTCCTTCGGTCGTCATCGGCTGAATGCGCATGCGCGGCAAAAGCCACGCGTGCATTCAGCCAGTCCATAGGACAGCATTCTCAATGCTTTCCTATGGACGCTGGCGTCTTCTCACTGTGAAAATCAATGAGACAGCCACTAGAGGCTGGCTTAACCTCAAATGTAAGCATAGCAGTTTCTCTGAAACTGCTATGTTTACAGCAGGCAGGGTTAATCCTAGATGGACCTGGCACCCAGACCACTTCATTAAGCTGCTTCACTTCTGCATTAACAGCATTAATTATTTTTATTCTGGATGGCAGTGATTGTCTGAAAGTAAAGCCTTTACACAATACACAGTACTTAGCTGAACTTGGACAATTGAATTGACACTCTGAACACTGTAACCATCGCAAAAGAGTCTGTCTGACAATTAACTAACCTCCATCTTTAACACACCTGCAACTGCAAGCAGCAATATGGCACTATTTTCCCATGTACCTTTTCAGTCTAACCAATTAGCTTGTGCTGGTGCTACACTTGCAGAGCCTTGTGGATATGCAGAACGAATTAAAGGGTTACTTCAAGCTTTTTTTATGATCTTACTCTTCTGAAGCATAATGTATTATGTATTATTCTTTAACCTCTCCCCTTCACCCAAAATCACTAAAGAAAATTAATCTATAACTTACCTGACGTCTGCAAGCACAAGCAATATACACTCCCTAACTGACGTCTGCATATAATTGCGTAATCAATAACATACTTTAAAGCCTTTCCTGGCTGAGTGCCAGACTCTACAATATGGGGCATTTTTGCATTTATTTTTTTCACACAGTATCAATATTTCTACACCATGATTATATAGTACAGACTACCTGTGTGTGTTTTCCACAGGATTATGTTATCTTAGAACTAGTTGTTTCTTTTTGGCTCATGCACATTTGTTCTATGAAGACCCTTGAGAATTTTTACCACATAAATACTACATATTAAACAATAAGTAATGTGGAATAAAGGTCTAAAAGGGCATCTTTACGTTCTATGATATAAACAGCCAGACAAGTAATTATCATGTGTTTTGCTCTTCAGTTTTAATTGTTCTTTTGACACAATAAAGATTATTATTTTGTTAGACATTTTGGATGAATAGGATACCTTAAACTCACGGCCGGACTGGCCAGGCATTTAAAGGCAGTGCAGCCCAGTAGAAGGGGGCGGGGACAGAGAGGGTGTGTGTGATGTCTTCAACAATGACACTCACACCACCTCAAATTGAGTATGTCAATTTGCTGTCCCTCCAGTGCATCTTATGCAGAGAGACATGCTGAAGAGCACTCACATGGGAGCAATGCCCTGTGTCTATTTTACACACCATAGCTATGTGTTTGCCGTTGACCTGTCTCTGGTGGACAAAAGTGGGGCACAGCCAGTAAATAATGTTGTCTCTGTGGTGCTACATGCGTCCGGAGGCTGATTGTGGGATTGCATGTGCGTAGAGGCAACTCTTTGTTGTGTAGTGTGTTTGTATAGAGCAGTCTGTGGTGTACTATGCATGGCTAGGAACTGTAGTGCGCATGTGTTTTCACTGGATGTAAAGTGTGTGTGTCTAGAAGCTGAAGAGTGTATATGTTTGTCAAGCGGTTGTATAGAAAGAGCTGTAGTGTGCATGTATCTGTATTGGGACTGTTATGTCCATGTGGGTGTGACTACAGGCTGTAGCAGGTGTGTACAGGGGCTGTAATGTGTATGTTTAAGTATAGGGGCTGTAGTTGGTGTGTACAAGGTAGTTTGTGTTTGTATTGAGGCTGTAGTGTGTGTGTGTGTCTAGAGACTATAGCGTGTCATTTACATAGTTTGGAGCTGTTTAGCGATTTGGAGTAGTCCTGAGAAATACATTTTTCAAATTTAAGGTTAAAATAGCTGAACTGAAAACTTTTATTACTCCGCTATGATTCCAGTTTGGCTGCTTTGGCTTTAAATTTGTAATTCATTTTAGTGAATAACCCAGTATTTTATAACTTTGTTTAATTAACTAAATATATATGGACTAATTGGATTTCTAGAAAGTCAGTTATAGTTTTTTCTTGATGTATGCTTTACACCAGAGTGTTCTGCAAGTTTTAATACCAGATGGTATGCTATATTATCCTTAATCCTATTGTGCATTTAAATTAAAGGGACACTAAAGACACCAAAGCATATTTAGCTTAATTAAGTAATTTTAGTATAGATCGTGCCCCTGCAGTCTCGCTGCACAATTCTCCACTTAGGAGTTAAATCATTTTATTTATGCAGCGCTAATCACACCTTCCTGAATGGGACTTGCACATCCTTCCTAAACACTTCTTGTAAGGTGAGATCTAATGTTTACACTTCCTTTATTGCATTTATTTAGAATGTATGATCTCCTGCTGTGTTAATAGATTGCTAGGCCTTGCAGGAGCCTCCTGTATTTGATTAAAGCTCAATTTACAGAGCAGGAGATGAAAACATCAAAAGTAAGTTAACATCTGATTACAATTTTATCCTTTTTAATGCAGGCTGTGCCAGTCACCACCAGGGAAGATATGACTAAAGCTGTATAGACTGAAACAATAGTGATTTAACTCCAAAGGGAAGCAGTGAGACTTGATCTATAGACAAAAAACTGCTTCATTAACCCCTTAAGGACCAAGCTTCTGGAATAAAAGGGAATCATAACATGTCACACATGTCATGTGTCCTTAAGGGGTTAAACTAAAGTTGTTTTGGTGTCTGTAGTGTCCTGTTAAGGATTAATATTGCTTCTCAAAGGGCTAACAGGCAAATGTGAATGTCATGCTCATAATCCCTTGAAGTGTATATCCTGGTGGATGAATATTTTCTGTAGCGGATGACACCGTCATATCCCAGGCATCCACAAATCCAACATTCATTCCCTGGAAAACTTCTCTTAATGCAAGATATTGAGTGTACCCATGAAAGTCACCAGTTTTTTCAACAGAAGCATGTATCTCTCTAGTGTTTTCTGATTTAATTATGACTTTGGTTTCTGGACTTCTAAGGAAAAGACGCTCAATGGCTCTACGGATGTTAATGACTCTTCTAATATACAGAGTAAGAGGGAAATGTCTGAAGTGTTGTCCCAGCGTAATTGCAATTATGGTATCCATTCCTCCACCGAGCTGGTCGATTTGACGACTTATGTACTTGTCTTCTTTGAAATAGTAGAACCGAAAGCTTTCCAGGGGGATGGCATGCCTTTTATAAAATACATATATATCTTTGTCGATGTTTACAGCTAAAAGTGTCTTCTGCCAAGAGTTCCAATTCATTTGGTTAAAACCAAGATAGTTTGTTACTAAAAGCAAAAAAAGGACAATGATTAGGTGAAAATCACAAAGTACTAATAGTAAGAATAATTCAACATGAATTTCAAGTATGATGCAAACATAGCTCATCTGTATTAAGAAAAAAACTTCATCAGATATACTTCCAGTTGAGCTGGGGCCAGACTCTATTGTTATCTGTGCAACTGTTGCTCAACCTAACATGCCTGTTGGTGCAGCTTCACACAGTGCACACTGTGTCAAAGAAGCAACCACAGGCAGGGGCGGACTGAGAACCCTCAGGGCCCCCGGGCAAAATAAATCAAGGGCCCCCTTACAGGCCCCACCCATACTCTGCAGCAAGCGCCACCCTTGTCCCGCCTCCAGCCACACCGTACACAATCTTTAGACACAAGGAACAAAAGGGCAATAAGCCCTTCGAGGCCCCAGTAGAGACTACAACTGAGGGCTAATGGGCCATGGAGGGGGGTCTTTCTAGCGGAGGCTCAGTGTCCTTTAGAGGGTGTGTTAGAAAGAATCCCCTCCAAGCCCCATTAGAGACTACAATGGAGTCTAAAAGGCTTGGAAGGGGGTCTTTCTAACAGAGGCTATCTCAGCGTCCATTAGATATCCCCTGCTGGAAACAGTCGCCTCCAGGCCCCAGTAGAAACTACAATTGAGGGCTAATGGGCCATGGAGGGGATTTCTAGCAGAGGCTAGAGTCTAATGGGGCCTGGAGGGTGGTCTCTCCAACACTCTGGTTCCTATTCACAATATAGCAACACAAAATAGCTCGCTGATACCTAAGCCAAGTTGGCTCCTCTTACCTTAATTACTGTTGCTGGCTGGCAGTCTGTGGGCTTGCTGGCTGCGGCTGGCAGGCTGTGGGCTTGCTGGCTACTGCCGGCAGGCTGTGGGCTTGCTGGCTACTGCCGGCAGGCTGTGGGCTTGCTGACTGCGGCTGGCAGGCTGCGGCTGGCAGGCTATGGCTTGCTGGCTGTAAGCCTGTGGCTTGCTGTAGGCCTGTGGGCTGGCTACTGGCCTGTGGGCTGGCTAACTGGCTGGCTACTGGCCAGCCTGTGGGTTGGCTGGCTGGCTACTGGGGCACCTGTAGATTATTTAAAGAAATAATCCATGCACAATAACCACTACTGCTCCAGAGTAAGTAGTCAAACCGTTTAAGAACAGTTTGACAACTTACCTGGGGTCTGCTGAGATATGAGGCTGTAGTAGGGAATAGGAGCAGTGGTGCAATGTGTGTGAAAGGTTCAGTGTGTGTGTGGGGGTGTAGTGTGTGAATGTGTAGAGTGTGTGGGCAGTGTATGTGTGTGGCAATGTTAGTATGGGGGGCTGTGTATGGGGTCTGTGTGTATATGGGTGAGCAGTGTATGTGTGTGTGTGTGTGAGGCAATGTGTGTAAATGTGTATGGTGTGTATGGGGGCAGTGTGTGAATGTGTATGGTGTGTGTGTGGGGGCAGTGTGTTTATGGGGCTAGAGTTCACTCTCACCACTGCGACCACCAGGAATCCATGGGGTTACAGTGTTGAGAGTGATCTCTAGCCCGTAGCTCCAGGGCTAGAGTTGACTCTCGCAAGAGCAGTAACGTTGCCATGGTAAAAGCGGCAACGCTCTGTGCTCGCGCAAGAAGGACCCAGAGGAGCTGCAGGGTGAGCTCCCAGGTCCTCTCTTCCTCCCCTGCCCGCACGGTGCCTGCGGACAGGGGAGGGGGGGCATTCTTCCCTCTCTTTCTCCCCCCTCCCCCAACTCTCTATTCCCCCTCTTTCTCCCGTGTCTCATTCTTCCCTCTCTGTCTCTTTCTCCCCCTCCCCATCTCTCTATTCCCCCTCTTTCTCCCTGTGTCTCATTCTTCCCTCTCTGTCTCTCCCCTCCCCATCTCTCTATTCCCCCTGTGTCTCATTCTTCCCTCTCTTTCTCCCCCCTCCCCATCTCTCTATTCCCCCTCTTTCTCCCCGTGTCTCATTCTTCCCTCTCTGTCTCTGTCTCCCCCTGTGTCTCATTCTTCCCTCTCTTTCTCCCCATCTCTCTATTGCCCCCTCTTTGTCCCCCTTCCCCATCTCTCTGTCCCCCCTCTTTCTCCCCTTGCCCATCTCTCTATTCCTCCTCTTTCTCCCCCCCTCCCCATCTCTCCCTCTCTTTCCTCCCCTTCCCTCTTTCTCCCCCCTCCCATCTCTCTCCTCTCTTTCTCCCCATCTCTCCCTCTCTTTCTCCTCTCCCCTTCCCATCCTCTCTATTCCCCTCTTTCTCCCGTGTCTCATTCTTCCTCTCTCTGTCTCTGTCTCCCCTGTGTCTCATTCTTCCCTCTCTTTCTCCCATCTCTTTATTGCCCCCCCCTTTCTC